GCAGCATCTGGTCTGGCTGGTCTGAGGTTATCCTCCTATCTGCACGCCTCTGCAACCTCAGCCAGCTTCCTTAACACCAAGTCATGCCTCCACCTGTACCAACCTTGGGAGAGTGTGACCTTACAGCTTTACAAGATGTGCTGGAGGCTTGCCTTGATGTTACTGCAAAGTGAGCAGTTCTCCTCCTTACTAAACCATTGATGGAGGTTTCATGGACAGGGTAGGTTGTCGTAGGTGGCTCTGATCAAGAAGCTGAGCCTAGCTTGGGGGATTTTCCATAGATCGGNCAATGATCTTTAGTGTAGCTGTTGGCAATTATATGCTTATAATAACAACCAAAAAGATGCAGGTATGCACATTTTCCCAAAGTAAGAGTTGCTGTATGCTCCAGATGAGATGATCAATGTGTGCAACACATTTGATTGCCCTACACTGATCTACACTGCTGTTATTGGCCATTATATATTTATAATAATGACATAAAAAAAAACACATAGTGATGCACAATTTACCAAAATGAGAGTTGTAGTGTGATCACAGTGCAGTGGGGGGGGGGGTGTTTAGCGGATCTATAGTTGTAGTTCACTGTCTGCCTTGCTGTGGTTGCAGAGAGATGTCAGTTTGGAAGAAGAAACGATCGGCTGACCAGTTATTGATCCTGATGAGCCCAATATCTTTCTAATTCTACCAAAGTTTCTTACATCACTCTTGAGAGAAACTCTTTATTGTTTCGTAAAACAAATTATGGTTCCATGTCTTCGCTGAAGGTCAATTATGCTGCAGAATTGAGTTTTTCCTCCAGCAGCTCTTCATTAGTGGCTGAAGAAATACATGTCTGATATCTTTCTCTGACAATGTTAACAAAGTTTATTTTGGGAATACTGCAGTTTTTTAGAAATATTTCTTAAGAAAATACAGTTTCTATTCTGCAATTGTTCTCAAAATTAGGTTTCTGTCAGGTTTTGGTCTTGTTGACATTTTAATTTTCAAAAGGGAAATCATACGTGACTAACATGGCTTAAAATCCAACATAAAGGCGTATTCAGAATTTCACTTTACTGCACCATACTGCTGAAGCATTCAGACTCTGAACAGTTATAAATGAACCTTAAATACCCGATTACTAATGAGCCAAAGTGAATTTATCCATTGGGAGATAAATAGAAATCTATCCTCTCTTCTCCTCTCTGAATATTTCATTAAGATCTGGAACAACAAAGTCATTAAATACTTTAGGAAGTCATTGTTATGTGTAGTGCATTGCTGAAGGCAGGGGTGGATTTACCATTAGGCAAAACTAGGCAGTTGCCTAGGGCCCCGAGTTCCTGGGGGGCCCCCTAAAACTCCTTCTACATGTATGGTTAATAGAGCTATTACTTATCTGTGCACATTAATTATGTTTTTGACAAAAATCCTTTCGCTAAAATGCCATCAGAATGCTGATAATATTAGGTGTGTCTCGGGGCCCCCCCTACAGTGTCCACCATATTGGTTCAGTCCATTTGCTGCGCATGGGCAGAAAGGTCCAAACACACTGCAGCAAACTATTTGAAAACAAACGGCGCGAAGAGACGAGACGAGCGGAGAAGAGAAAAGAAAGGAAAGGAAAGGAAAGAAAGTTGAAAAGAAGTTACCCTAGCGGTGCTGAAAAGAGGAGAAAGAAGAATGAAAGTAGGAAGCTGCTTTTAAAGTTACCGAAAATGACTGACTTCAGCTTCTTCACTGCGGCAGCGGCGAGCAGCAGCAGCGAGCAGCAGCAGCGAGCAGCAGCAGCAGCAGCGGCGAGCAGCAGCAGCGAGCAGCAGCAGCGGCAGTAACCCGCGAACAGCTGAAATCTTATAGAGAGATATTTGTGCCATCGGTTTGAGCGCGCAGGAACCAATCCGAGCGCGCAGTGAG